GGCGAGACATCGACCAAGAGCAATGGTGGCGCAACAACGAAAAGAAACAGAGACAGAGTAGATTGGTGACCCAAATAGCAAACCACAACAGCACAATCCTTGATCTCCTGACCAACCCGCATCGACTCGTGGCTCCTTTGTCTTCTACGGCGGTGGTGGTGATCGAACTCGAACTCACAGCGGCGGTAGCTCCGATATGCGAGTAGCAAGTGGGCGAAGCCTCAACTGACAGCGACAGAAGAAGGAGAATAGGGGAAAAAGGATGGCCGTCTGGTGGTCGTTGGATGATCGGGAACATGGTGGTGGCGGCGGCTCCGGTGAGGGGGCATAAGGGGGATGACGGTTGCTACATACTGGAGGGTTTAGGGTTTTAGTAGCGATGCTTTAAACGGGAATGAAGGATTCGTTGGGTTTAAATCCCGCTCCACTCAAAACTTTGCTCATTAGACAAGTTTAGTCCCTCCCCATAGCATCCTTTTCCAATCAAATCCTATATTTACCTATTAAACCCCAACATTAAAAATCCATTACAACTTAGGTACGAAATGTACCCAACGGCCCCCCTATCCCCATAATCTCTTCAACTAAAGTCCATAAATTCCCAATAATTACCACGGAGTCCCTGACTTCATAAATATATACAAACTGAGTCCGACTCTCACACTTTTAACCACCAATTACTAAATTATGCCAATTTACTCCTTGAAACCACCCCCTATATATAATTATTTATTTTAGGCTACCATTCGCTCATTAATTTATTTATTTTGCGTAATAAATAAATGGGTGTTACATTACAATGCTTTCCGATGATCATAACTCGACCTAAAACAATGTATATATAAGCCTAACTACCGACTTGTAATTAGATTACAATTAGGAAACTAGAAACCTACTTGTTTATGATATCCTAAAAACTAGGTTGCTATTACTTGGTCTCCAAGTCCTACTTGACTTAGGATTACAACACTTTCTAATGTCAAAGTTTTATGGAAACTAATTATCGGTCATGAAACATTTTCCAATAATAACTCTTCATTTCCCATCTCTTTGAAAAATGTCTCATAATGAAAACTCATCGAGTTCGAATGAATATTCGGAATGGGAAGCACGGGTTGTTCAAAATAATCGACAACTCGATGAAATCATCACTGAATTACTCATAGAAGATCATCCTCCCAGAGCAAGAAGGAGGTATTGTGATCGAGAACGTGAGCAGGGTGATGCATGTTTAATAGAAGATTACTTTGTTGACAACCCAACATATGATCAATCAACCTTTCAACGTAGATTCCGTATGCAAAGACCGTTATTTCTCCGTATAGTGACAATTGTTACAGCCAATGACCTATATTTTCAACAAAGACGTGATGCCACAAGTAGACAAGGTCTTTCACCATTGCAGACATATCTGAAAGCTATGCGGGTCTTGACGTATGGGACATCAACAGATGCACAAGATGAATATATGAGAATGAGCGAAACTGTAACAAGGGATGTTGTAATAAAGTTTGTAGAAGGTGTCATTTCATGTTTTGGTGAAAAGTATCTTAGAAGGCCAAATGAAGTTGATCTGGCAAGACTACTTCATGTCGGGGAGGAACATTGATTTCCAGGTATGATAAGAAGCATTGATTGTATGCACTGGACATGGAAAAGTTGTCGCACTGCTTGGGCAGGATAATATGCAGGTAGAAGCGGTAAACCAACAATCATTTTGGAAGCTGTTGTGTGTATGACTTACGGATATGGCATACATTCTTTGGAACACCATGCATGTGTAATGACATTAACGTCCTTCACCGGTCTCCTGTTTTTTATGATGTCTTAGCAGGTCGCGCACCAAATGTAAGTTATGTCTTGAATGGTCAGGAAAATAATATGGCATATTATCTCACTGATAGCATATATCCCTCATAGGCTGCTTTTGTCAAGTCAATAACTTCCCCTCAACTTCGAAAACACAAGTTGTTTGATGAACATCAAGAGCAGCTAGAAAAGATGTTGAACGAGCATTTGGAGTTCTACAAGCTCGTTTTGCATTCCTTCGACGCCCATGTCTTTTGTGGGATAAAGATACGATGAGGAAAATTATGATTGCATGTATTATCATTCATAATATGATTGTGGAGGATGAACGTTGTACATACATTCACTATTATGATCCATCTGAATTTCTAAATGACAAGCCTACAAACCGGAAACGAAGAATCTATATTGAAGATGACGATCAAAATTTAGAATATTTCACTCAATGAATTGCAGACCTATCCAGTTATATGACCAATAGGGCGCAACTTCGCAATAGAGAAGCTCATAACATTCTGAAAAACGGTTTGATTGAGCATATATGGCAAAATTTTGATATTGATGGATAATTATTTAGTTTGCATCTTTCGTATCTGTAATCTTGTATTTCATGTTTTGATTGTAACTTTGTTTATCTATTTTATTAAGTTTTTTTTTTTTTGTAATAAATATAAAATATTTTTTAGTTTTATATTTAAAATAAATAATTTATTAATAGATCTAAATAAAATATTTTTAATTTTTCTAATAAATATTAGTAGAATAAAAAATAATCCTAAAATTTATTATTTATATAATAAAAAATGGTTTGAGTTGGTTTGCTAATAGGTATAAAAAGTTGGGTTGGATATATCTAAGAGAGAGAAACTATTTATTTAATGTATAGTTTGATTGATTTTAGTTGTGAATGAAATATTTATTTAATATATAGTTGGATTAATTTTAGTTGCGAACGAAGTTGTGTAATAACATAAGAGGTAGATAAAATTGGAGGACATTGAACTTCACAGTGGAAAGAATCACAATATTGTGTAGTGCTACGGGTAAGTGACGACGAAAGAGGGAATGGTGGATGGGGTGGGGTTTAGACCCATTTTTCAATAATTAAAACATATCTAACATCAAAAATAAATTAAATAAATATAATAATGTTTCAAGTTAACTAAATTTACAAATAAATCTCATTTTGAATGTTGGATGCAAATTGATTTTATTTTTTCTTTTCGATTTATTTCAAATAAGCAAAACCAAATTTGGAGTTTTCCCCAATAACAAGCCAAAACTGATATACGGTTTACCAAAATAAATTGAGCCGAGCTTTTTCAATGTAAAAGCACAAATGATGATTTCAATGGGTCATAAAGTGAAATCCATGAAACTAGAAGGTTTAAAAGTACACCTTGCCATATTTATACAAAAGGCCGTTCACCCCCGAAACCTCCCCCAACGCCGTCGCCATCCATCTTCAACGGTGATCTCTGCGACTCCATAATCGTGTTCCTCCATGAACCCGAGTAGGGTTTCACAAAGGGGAATTTAGAATCTATCAATTCGATTTGAAAGAGTGTAAATTTTGGGAAGAAGATGGATCAATCATTCTTGATTATGCTGTCCAACCTACTCCACCTTCAAAATCAACTCGACCCTACCACCTCCATCCTCTCCGACTCCTCCACCTCCGCTACCTCAGCCACCCCTTCCTCCCTCCTCACATCCACCTCTGCCGCCCCTCTTCTATTCTTCACCATCGCCTCCGTCCTCTCATACATCTCCACTACCCGCAAACCCCGCTCCTCCCCATCCCCACCTCCATCTCCCTCAACCACTTCCCAATACTCCGTCGCCGCCTTCCGCGCCCTCTCCACCGAACGCATCTGGGCAATGGAAGCTCCTTTACGTGACGCCCAATGGCGCTCCATGTACGGCCTCTCGTACCCCGTCTTCACCACCGTCGTCGACAAACTCAAACCCTACATCGCTCAGTCAAACCTCTCCCTCCCCTCCGACTACGCCGTCGCCATGGTTCTCTCCCGTCTCTCTCTCGGTCTCTCCGCTAAAACCGTCGCTAAACGTTACTCCCTTGAACCCTACCTCGTTTCCAAAATCACTAACATGGTCACCCGCCTCTTATCCACTAAACTTTACCCTGAGTTCATCAAAATCCCCGCCGGCCGCCGACGTCTCCAGGAAACCACAGCCTCGTTCGCCGAAATCACATCCCTCCCTAACATATGTGGCGCCATTGACAACACACACATCCGCCTCCACAGCCTCCCCTCCAACCTCCCTAACCCTAGCATCTACACCAACTCACACGGATTCCGATCAATTCAACTCCAAGTAGTCGCAGATCACAAGAAAATCTTCTGGGATGTTTGCGTGAAAGCCCCCGGCGCTTTTGACGATGCTACCCATTTCCGTGATAGTTTGCTCTACAACAGATTGATTTCAGGCGACATTGTATGGGAGAAAGTTGTGAACGTGAAAGGGCATCCCGTTAGACCTTACATCGTCGGAGATTGGTGCTACCCCTTGTTATCATTCCTGCTAACTCCATTTTCATGGAACCGAACTGGGAATCCAGCTCAGAACACTTTCGATGAGGGGTTGATGAAAGGGAGAAAAGTGGTGGAGGAAGCTATCGGATTATTGAAGGGCAGATGGAGGATTCTTCAAGATATGAATGTGGGATTGAATCATGCACCTCAGACGATTGTTGCTTGTTGTGTGTTGCATAATTTGTGTCAGATTGCAAGGGAACCTGAACCAGAAGTGTGGAAGGAGCCGGAGGAGAGAGGTGGTGTTGCTAGGGTTTTGGAGAGTGAGAATTATTACTACAATTTTGGAGAAAGCTTGAGGCAGGTGTTAGCTGATGATCTTTACCAGAGGCTTTCTTCAAGATGAAATTAATTGTAAGGTTGTAGTTTTTTTTTTTTTTTTCTTGTCTTTCCTCTTGTTGTAACTTTGTTCTAGAAAATATTTTTAATCCTTTTCGTAATAAGTAGTGTGTAATTGCTACCAATTATGTATGTAAAACTAACTCAAGTTTGGGGAATTTAATCTCAGATGATTATTAGCCATGTTATTCATAACAATCTTATATAAAAGATGATAAACCATGAAAATGTGATTTTGCAAAATGAAATCCCTAATTTTCCAAAGTCTATGATGTTTGAACTTGTTACAAAATGTCATTGAGCATAGGCAGTTTTGCCACTATTTGGAAGAAGTCCATCTTTAGCCATTTCAGAAAGAATCTTAAACACAGCATCCATGTTTCCTTGTTTATGGTTTATCTCAACAAGAGCTTTTGCAACTTCACCATCACTAATCCTACAACTTCTCAACACATTTTCTATAACTTCACTCGATTCCACCATCATTTCGCCTCTTATAAGTTCTTTAATCAAAGCAATAATTGTAGCAGTATGAGGAACAAATCCATGACTCACCATCTTCTTATAAAGATCAAAAGATTTCCTCAAGTTCCCACCTTTACAATGCCCATGTATCATAATATTATAAACAGCTTCCCCAGGCTCTTCCTTTCTCTGAAGCATTTTATCAAACACCTTATCTGCTTCATTCATTAACCCCTTCATACAGAACCCTTTTATTAGAGCCACCACACTCTTCGCCTCCATGTTACCACAATTCTCTATCAATGTCTCGTAGGTGACATCATCCGGAACACCATTGTCATAATACAACTTGAAAAGAATCTGTTTTGCTTCAAGGGTTCTTGCTTTCTTGGAAAGGCCATTAATCAACACACTGTAAGTGACAACATCTGGGAGCAAACCTTTTTTAAGCATTTCATCGTGCAAATGGAGGGCGTTTACAGTATCTCCTTCCACACAATAAGCGTTTATCAAAGCTGTGTATGTACATTCATCAGGTGGCAAACCGTTTCTTAACATTTGTTGAAAAACATCACAAGCTTCTGTTAGTTTTCTTTGATCACAAAGACCTTTAATTAGTGACGAATATGTGATAGTGTCGGGTAAAACACCTTTTGCGACCATTTGGCTTATTGTTTCATAAGCTCTATCTAGCTCTTGATTTCTACAAAAACCAGTTATAATTGTGCTATAACTTACAACATCTGGGGTTAATCCGGTTTTACTCATATCATCAAGAACTCCTAAAGCATCCTCCATGTGCCCATTTACAGTGTGACCATTGATCAAAGTGTTGTAAGTCACAATCGATGGAGAGAAACCCTTCTTTTTCATTTCATCTAATAGCTTATAAGCTTCATCCATGAATCCTTGTTGGGAGAAGCCATCAATCAATGTTGTATATGTTCTAGCATTTGGAAAGAGCTTTCTTACACGCATTTGTTCTAATAATTCCATAGCCCTGTGTAGATTTCGAGCTTTACACATGCTATTAATCAAAGAAGTGTAAGTAATAACATTAGGAGATAATCCATTTCGTGTCATTTCATCATGCAAAACAAGTGCTTGGTGGAAGTTACCTTCTTTACAGTACCCATTCACAAGAGTATTATAAGTGACTTCATCAGGGATGATTCTTTTGTGTTTCATCTCTTCAAGAACTTCATCTGTTTCATTCATCCTCCATTCTCGAGCTAATCCGTTAAGTATGACATTATAAGAAATCAAATTCGGCTCTAAATCTTTATTAGTCATTGTCTTGAACAGCTTGAATGCATCATCAAGTTTCCTTGATTTACAATAAGCATCGATTAATGTGTTGTAAGTAACAACATTAGGCAAGCAACCATTTTTCTGCATTTCAGCGAAGAACTCTAGACCCTTTTCCAAATCCCTAACCCCACAAAAGCCACGAATCAGTATATTATAAGTGAACACATTTGGTGAAATTCCAGTTCTTATCATATGTTGATACATTTCCTCGGCTACTTTAATCGGCTCGCTAGACCGAATAATCGCATCGAGAACAGAGTTATACGACAATACACCTGGCATATAACCATGAGATATGGCTAAATGGATTGTGTTTAAACCTCTTTTGACCAACTTCAAATTAGAATAAGATTTTACCAACAAATCGATGACGGCAGAGCTTGAAGTGCAGTCGGAGTATGTATCTTTAAGGCATGTGAAAACTAATTCTCCATTTTCATCACCAGGGGAGTTAATGGCTACGTCTTCGGCGATGATTTGAGCTGTTTTATAGAGCTTGAATCTGGTGAGTATGTGAAGAGAGAGGCAGCTACATTGAAGATCAAAGAAGGGACGCCGGCGAGCCCAATTGATGAATGATAGGATTAGGGTTTTGTCAGATTGAGCTTGCAGGAGTAAATAAGAAGCTGATTGAGGTGTAAATTGGGACGATAGGGGATCTAGGTTGATTAAATGGTGGCGTTTGAGGATGGTGATGGCTTTTCCGACAAGATGAACATCAGGCGCCGTCGGTGGTGGCGGCAAGGAGGTGAGGGTGGAGAACTGAAGAGTTTTCCGGTAGGGTTTAAGGAGGTTCATTTCAGCGGACAGTTGAAAACGAACATGGTTGGTTGTGAACATTCGTAAGACTATCTTCGCTCTTCACAATCCAAATTTAAGTCAATCTCGTCGGGGTGTTTGGACTATCTTCGCCGAATGTTACAAAAATGTGGAATCAAGAAATTATATCTATCACGAATCCAAATTCATATTTTGTTATTGGTAGGAAATAAAATTGAAATTCAATAGCAGAAAAAAAAAAAGAAATTAAAATAATATATAAAACGAGGAAATTGTCTTTTTAATTTTTTGTTTTATAATTTATATGTAAGTATATACATCATATAAATTATAAAAATAATAAATAGTGTTGTTACAAGTAGTGGTGAGTAGTTGTGAAAGTGAGGTGGCTGGTGGTGATGACACATAGTGGTGGTGGCAGCAATGGTGGGTGGTGAAGATGGTTACGGTGAATGGTGGGTGGTGAAAGTGGCGACAATGACGGTGCTGGGTGGTGGTGGCGATGGAGAAAGTTGTGGTTGTGGTTGCGATGGAAAAAGTGGCGGTGGTGGTGATCACCACCGAGGTGGTGGTGGTGATGATGGTGGGTGGTTGTTATACTAAAATTAAATACTAAATGCCATGAAATTTCCAAATAATAGGTTTGAGTGTTATTTGGTTTACAGTTTAAACAAAAAAGAAAAAAAACTGCATGAAGATTTCCTTAATCGGTTTCGGTTAAGCAGTTTGACAGTTTTGAGTTGTATGGACATCTAATTCGGTTTATAGATTAAGTTTATTATTATTATTATTATTATTATTATTATTATTATTATTATTATTATTATTATTATTCATGGTGGGTGATCAACACAAAACCGTATAACCTGAAAACCTGGCTAATACTCACCCTAGGTGTAGTATGTTATATCGATTTCATGGTTAGGGATAACCCTAGGTGTAGGTTTTGGGGTTATCCTAACTTTTAGGTGATGATGTTGTAAATTTTATAGTCATTTTTTTTGTAAAATAAGTATGTTTGTTGGCAATTTCCTAAACGAAATTGCAAGTTTTTCAGGTGGTTTGACACGCCAAGTCTTTATGATGAAGGTGAAGATGACAAAAGTAAGTATACGAGGCTAATTATCCACAACATAAATAGGTGATTGCTACATACTATATTAGTTTGATGTTTGCTCTCTTAACGATCATGCTAATAGTGCCTACTTTGTCTTAGAAAATGCCATGTAATTAGTGTGTAGACATTTGATCATGTAGTAATTGTCATTCTTATGTAATTTTTAGTATATGGTGATGTAATGGCAATGTACTCTGTTTATGTTAATTGAAATGAAAATGTACTTATTTATAATGTAAAGGAATGACAATGTAGATTACTTGTTTTATTGGCAATGTCAATGTAGTGATGTACTTAGTTAGATTTAAAGGACATGACAATGTACTTTGTTTCATGTAAAGGAAATGTTAATGAACTGTCGTTGGTTTGATGGCTATGGCAATGTACTTTTTTACATTTTGTGGCAACTTATATGGGAGTTAACTATGTGATAATTCAAAAAATATAATTTAATATTATATTTAAATTAATAAATTAAATATAATTATATTAATAATTTAATTTTTTTAATATAAATATGATAGTATTTTATATTTAATAGATTATATAAGTAAGTTTGAAAGTTCAAAATTTATGAAAATTTTAAATCAATAATTAAGCACAATAAAAGTAAAATGACTTGGTAAATATGGAATACTTCCAAACCCCTGTATGTCAAAAACCCTATTCTTTAACCCAATTTGTTACAGTTAATTGAAGAGTATGGGTTCTGATAATTTCATTAATCATGACTCATAATTCCTTTCAAAACCACTGATATGAACTCGTCGTCTAAACAGCTGGTGGGGCTTGGGTCAGTCCTTGATAAACTAATTCGAAGCTCGAGCCTTCATGACCATATCCCCACCCTTTCTCTTCTTCACACCCGCCAAGAATTCCCAGCACAAAGACCCAAGGAGATGCAACTGAGCACCACCAGTCGGGAACTATCTCCCTTCATCTTTCCTCTCTCTTCTATTCCCTCCCCTGGTAAAAGCTACACGACACCCATGCGCACAGCCCTATCCCTCCTCCGCTCTCTCTCCACCTCCCTCCCTCACCACCACCGCCGTTATCTCCTCATCCAACGCACTTTCCCCCTCTTTAAACCCCATGTTGTAAACCCACCTCGAATTTCACTATTTTGTACTCATTCCGGGGAACAGTCATCAGTCAGTAATTTCGTCGAGCAATTGGCGGGCGAAGACGAAAACTTGGATTTTGATAAAGATAACGAAGTTTTTAACTTCGATGCCTCTTTTGTGTCGAATGTTGATTCCAAGAATAAACATTTATCTCCGTCTCTTGATATGAAAGAGTTGGATGAGCTGCCCGAACAGTGGAGGAGGTCTAAGTTGGCGTGGTTGTGTAAGGAGCTCCCCGCGCATAAGCCTGCTACGCTTATTAGAATACTGAATGCTCAGCGGAAGTGGGTTAATCAAGAAGATATGACTTATGTAGCTGTCCATTGTATGCGGATTCGTGAAAATGAGACTGGGTTTAGGGTAAGAGTTCATCTTTTTTTGTTCTTTTCAGTTTTCAGTTCACGTTTTCCTTTAATTTACACTGCAGCTATAGTTCTTGGTTATACGAAATTTTGCGCTTGTTTTCTACTCGCTCTTATAGATAATTAACTTCCAGTTATTGAATTATTTTGCTTTATGTGTGATGCCATTTTGTTGGATCATTTTAGGTCTACAAATGGATGATGCAACAGCACTGGTTTCGTTTTGATTTCTCTCTTGCTACGAAGCTAGCAGATTACATGGGCAAGGAGCGAAAATACTTGAAGTGTAGAGAGATATTCGATGATATAATCAATCATGGACTAATCCCTACAGAATACACCTTCCATATTCTCATAATCTCCTACCTTAGTTCATCAAATCGTGGTTGTTTAGATGAAGCATTTGCTATCTACAATCGAATGATTCAATTAGGAGGTTATAGTCCACGCCTTAGCCTTCACAATTCTCTATTCAAAGCACTTCTAACCCAGCCTGAAGACTCTTCAAAACACTATGTCCATCAAGCAGAATTCATATTTCATCAAATGGTAACATCTGGATTCAAGATTCATAAAGATATCTACAGTGGGCTTATTTGGCTTCATAGCCATCAAGATAAGATAGATAAAGAAAGAATCACATCACTAAGAGCTGAGATGGAATTATCTGGATTTGATGAGACCAAAGAAGTGCTTATCTCTATTTTGAGAGCTTGTTCAAAAGAAGGGGATATAAATGAAGCCGAAAAGACATGGGAAAAGCTTCTTAATATCACCCCCACAATTCCTTCTCAAGCTTTTGTGTATAAAATGGAAGTCTATGCAAGAATTGGAGAACATATGATATCATTCGAGGTATTTAGAGGCATGCAAGAACAGTTAGGTTCAGCCAGCATTGCAGGATTTCATAAAATAATAGAAATTTTATGTAAATCAAACTCTCATGAGCTTGCAGAATCTGTCATGAAAGAATTCATCGAAAGTGGTAAAAAGACATTAATGCCATCGTTTCTTGATTTAATGAACATGTATTTAACATCAGGCATGCACGATAAGTTGGAGTATACTTTCCTTCAGTCCCTTGAGAAATGTCCTCCTAATCGTACCCTTTACAATATATATCTCAAATCACTTGTAGATTCTAGGAATTTACAAAAAGCAGAAGAGACATTACGTGAAATGCAAAGTCATGAGGCTGTGGGTGTTGACACTGAATCTTGCAACACCATTTTAAGAGGGTATTTAGATGGTAAAGAGTATGCAAAAGCAGAAAAGATTTACACTTTAATGAAGGAGAAAAAGTTTCACATTGAACCCGATTTAATCGAGAATCTTGAACATGTTTTGAGTTCGAATCAAGAAGCTGTTAAGAACCCTGTAATCTTGAAGCTTAGTAAAGAACAACGAGAAGCTTTGGTAGGGTTACTTTTGGGTGGTGTACAGATTGAATCAGATGAAAAAAGAAAGAATCATACACTTGTTTTCAAGTTCAATGAGGACTCTGGTGTACATAAGGTGTTAAAGAGACATATTTCCTATGAGTACCATGAGTGGTTGGATTCATCTAGTGAACAATTTACCACTATACCCCACTCTTATTTTGGGTTTTATGCAGACCAGTTTTGGCCACAGGGGCAACCTGCAATTCCTAAATTAATCCATAGGTGGTTATCACCTCGGGTTCTTGCATATTGGTACATGTATGGGGGTTACAAGACATCATCTGGAGATATTTTATTGAAGGTCAAAGGAAGTGAAGATGGAGTTGACCGAATTGTTAAAACATTACAGAAAAAGTCTTTGACTTGTAAGGTCAAACGCAAGGGGAGAGTGTTCTGGATAGGTTTACTTGGAAGCAATTCAGAATGGTTTTGGAAATTGGTGGATCCGTATATTGTAAGGGATTTGAAAGATGTTTTAAAGCCAGGGAACATAGCATCTGATCTGAAGGAAGAAGCCCAAAATGTTGAGTTCGATAGAAGTGATTCTGATTATAGTGAAGATGACATCTTGTAGGATTTGTAAAATCTAAACTAACACTGTGGCTTAAAAAGAGGTGAGAATAGGTTCACGGAAAGGCAAGTATACTCGACGAAATTTCTTATCTTGCTGCAGTGACACTAAGGTATGTTTTTATGCATGAAATTATTTCATTCTTTTACTTAAAGTTTTGAACTTTATTGTATGTCATTATTTGATGCAGGTTGAAAATGGTAGTGGTGCTAATGCTGCACATTTGAGTCAAGGGACATGATTTTTATATTGGATTTAGTTGAGGGTATGTATATCTTTTAAAACACTTCACTAACATCCTAAATTTATGTGACCTCACTTATATGTGGTTGTTTTGTGCATATTTTATCTTTACAATTGGTATTTTCTTCCACTATTTATCATGCTTAAAGACCATTACTTGCTAGGAATAACTGTCACCGAGTTGTAATTGAATTTCTGCTTTATTTGTTGCTTCAGGTTGTGAAAAAGATTATTTATTATCTATATATTAAAAAATATTTTCTGATGATCTATTTTTGACTCTTGAATAT